TATTATATTTTTAAATATATAAATTATATTTTAGATTTAAGATAAATAATTTATATTATGCTACAAAATTATTTTTATCTATTGATTATTTATTTTTAAAATATTAAAATTTAATTTATAAATAAATATAAAATTAAATTATATTAGAAATTGAGAGAATCTCTAAAAATATTATCATTAAATAATAATTTTTAAAAGTACTATAATTATTTGCATTATTTTTTCCAATTTTTTATTGGTAATTGAGAATAAGTAAATGACTTAATTGAATGTTACCCAATTTGACCCAATTTGAAAGTAAACAATAGGAGTATCCTGTACGTTTGATATTGCATGTCAATCTTGTCTTAGGTCAATCTAAACAACCATGAGTAACAGCAATGTGCAGCACAAATGTTTGAATGTTGGTAAACAAGAACGAAGCACGCAAAATAACTAACCCATATTTAAATTTCCCTTAACCAAAATGCATTGATTCAAAATTCTGGTAACATCCCAGTATTTGTTTCGTCTCAGTCTTCACCATACCAACCCAACCCATCAATAGAAAATAAAATCAACTCTAACTTCCCTATAAATATATAACTTTTCCTTTGGCATTTACCACAATTCTCTCTACCATCCTCAACTTTTTCTTCTCTTCATTCAGTTGTTCTTTTTTCGATCATAAAGAGAAAACACACACGAGAATAATGTCTCCACAAAGTGTAGCTCTTTCACTTTTCACCACCGTGTTTCTCTCATTTGGCGTGTGTTTTGGGTCTTACCTAGAGGACACACACGACCTAAATAATTATCAACGTATGATACCAAATAATGAAACTTTTGGTATCAAGACAAGGGCTTTTGGATCCTTCCCATTTGCATGGTATCAAAGATGGTTTAGTGTTGATGACTATGGAGCCATAGCTAATGATGCCAGACATGACACTAAGGTAATTTAATTCACATTACAATTTAACATGAACAATGGGTTACATTTAAGTCTATTTTATTGGGTTATTAGTGTCTTACTTTTTAATTTTGTAGGCATTTGAGAAGGCATGGAATGAGGCATGTTCTACCGGGGGTGTTCTTTTAGTCCCTCGTGGCAAGACCTATCATTTAAAGCAAATCATTTTTTCAGGACCATGCCTACCCAATACTTCCTTCAGGGTGAGATTAATTAGTTAACATTTTCAAATTTCAAGCAATGATTAGTGAGAAATTAATTAGCTCATTTTGTTTTACCCACAATTTGCTTCATCATGTTAATATTAGGTCTTTGGAACAATCAAAGCATGGCCTAAAATGTCAGCATACCAAAAAGATAGATTACTCTGGATTAAGTTTCTTAATGTCGCGAATCTCATTGTTGATGGTGGTGGCATTATCAATGGTAATGGGAGAAAATGGTGGGAAAACTCTTGCAAAATCAACAAAAGCCTTGTAAGTTATTCAATTTCACTCAAATTCTATTGATATTTTCCGTTACATTTATCTCCTATAAACCAATGAATAAGCATATTTAAAAAATTATTATTATTATTATTGTTACTTTTTCTATATATTAAGAAATTTAATTATCTGTATTAACTATTTTCATAATATTATTTCTAGGTTGTTTTTGTTATAAATGAAAAAAAAAAAGAGTAGCATAATCGAAAGATCATATATTAAAGAAGAGATATTTTAATAAATATATTATTAAATAAGATAAAAATAATTAAAATTTACTTATATTTAAGAAAAAAAATTATTATTTTTTTAATAATAAAAATAAAGAGAAGATTATTCAATTTAATAGTTTAAATTTAAGGCCGATCTAAAAGTAAGGTTTAAAGATAATTTTTAAAGTTTTTTTTTTTTTTTTTTTATGAATTGAGAAAGCATACTTTTTTTTAATCAATATATACAATTTTTTATTTTATTAAAACTAATAACAGAAAATATTTTTAAATACTTTTTTGTTGATGGACATAAAATTTAAATTTTGTTAGACATATCCCTTGGTCGGTTCTTAACAAACCCATATTTAATTCTTTTATATCTATATTTTTATTCTCATTTCAATTAATTAGACTTTTATCATTGTGATTTTCGATACTGAGCATGATTTCTCTCCTCTCTTTTTTCTTTCACAGCCATGCAAACCGGCACCAACTGTAAGTTGATATTCTTCTTCATGACATTTTTTGATCCATACACATGATGTTTAATTTAATTAACTTCACGCATAATAAATTTACAATTTGATGACCCTGTTCTGTTTCCTTATGACCCTTTTAATTTTTTTTATTTTTTATTTTTGGAAAACTTGTTGCATATATAGGCCGTGCAATTCCTCGGATGCAACAACTTGAGTGTGACAAACCTTAAGTTCAAAAATGCACAACAAATGCATGTTAGGTTTCAGAGATGCCACAATGTTACAGCTTCATATTTGAGTGTGACAGCACCAGAGCACAGCCCCAACACCGATGGAATTCACGTCACAGAGACACAAAACATAGTCATAACGAATAGTGTCATTGGAACAGGTGAAAAAAAAACAAAAAAAAAAACAAAATCAACACAAAGTTAATCAGAATAATTCACTTTGATTTCAAAATTTCTAATTTGCTTTTCCCACCGTTGATTTCATTGAAGGTGATGATTGTATCTCCATAGTAAGTGGGTCTCAGGATGTTGTTGTCAGAAATGTCAGGTGTGGACCAGGGCATGGAATCAGGTTTGTTGGTCGATTTGATGCACATATTATATTAATTTTTTACGATAATTATCTTTGTCATATGGTAAAAATTTTATAAACATTATTATATGGACATTAAATTCTGTTAATTTTACATTGATTGGTTCAAAAGTTGATGGTGTAATATGTTGTAGCATTGGGAGTTTAGGAGCTGGTAAGTCAGAAGCTCAAGTCTCGAACGTGTTAGTGGATGGAGCCATCATCACAGGAACAAGTAATGGAGTTAGAATAAAGACTTGGCAGGTATGATAATAAGTGTTTGAATTTGCTTCTAAAACATGGAATTAAACTTACCCACTTAAATTAATTTTATATTTATGATTTCTTTGGATAAATTTCTTTCAAAAAAATTAAATTTTTTTTAAAAAAGATTTATTCTGATAGAACGTATACAAGTTAATTTATATGTAAGAATATTATTTTAATAGAACAAAAAAAATAACATTATTCTTTTTCTACTTATGAAAATATCCAAACAAAAATTTAGAGCTAATGATGACAAAATAACAAATTTTAGGCACATTAAGACTATTACATTAGGAAGTTGACCAATGGTAGTGCACCTAAGGTTTATAAATTCTCACTTTGTTAGCTTACTTTTAAGCTAACATGTTCTGTTTGAAGTGTTTTTTTTATCACTTTTATGGTCGGTTACCACTTCTAAGTTCTAACTGACCCGAAATTGACCTGAAATATTTCAACTAACTGAGTTCGGCAAGTTTACACACTTCACCAATTCCTAACCTTCTTTAAACAAGTCAACAATATTTTATTATAAAAAAAAATGTGTTGTTGCAACTTTCTTATATCCTTCCTCTTAACTAATTCGAACCAGCATTTTTTTTCTTCCATTTGTGGAATTGCATGAAAATTCTGTGGAAAATTCTTTATGCTCATAATCAAGAAAAGACAACATATTTTTATTATGTGATGCTTAAAGTGGTTCTTCCTTACTTTGATGCGTAAGGTGAATTTGCATGAAAAAAAAAAAAAAAAAGAAGCTAAATTGTTATGGTCTTATTCAATTTCATTGAATTCCCAAATCCATCCTTATGATTTAAAAGTTATTTTTTTTAAATAAATCATTCCTTACTTGCTAGGAGATGTTTAACTTTATTTATACCATATGGCCTTAAAATTTACTCTTGAAACTTAAATAAAGCAGAGGAATTTTCATTGACCAATTGTGTATATTTGTCGAATAAAGCATTGATTTATCTAAAAATTTCAAGTAGCCCCTTCTAGTTTAATAAATATTAACAAAATTTTAATATTGCTAGCTAGTGAGAAAGGGTACTAATTATAAAAAAAAAAAAAGTTTAAAAACCTCAAAATTATATTAGCTTATTTAAAAAGAGTAAAGTTAAAAGTACTTTTTTCAAAGTAATACAACAAAAAGATTAAGTGAGCTTCTTCATAGTGTACAACATAATAATATTATTATGATTAATAATAATAATTAGTTACAATAGAAAATTTTTTCTTTTGATTATGGTATCTTACATGTTTTTTCTTCTTTCCATCACAAAACAGGGAGGTTCCGGCTATGCGAAAAACATCAAATTTACGAATATTGAAATGCGAAATGTGAAGAATCCCATAATTGTGGATCAAAACTACTGTGACAAGAGAAATGCATGCCCTCAGCAGGTAATTTATTATTATGAAGCTCTCAATCTACAAATTGTTTCCTTTATTATTTGAGTTCCCACTATACCCTAAACACATTTCTTAAGAAATTAGTATATAAATTTTTTTTACTGAAAATTAAAATAAATATAATATATGTTGGTATATTATTAAAAAGTGTATGTATAAACTATAGTGACACACAAAATATGTGGTTGAATCTCATTCAAAATCAACACTAAAATTATATGTAGCTATATATCAAATAAGTATATGTCTATATATATTACACGTATAATGACATTTTTTATGTCTCACTATATAAAAAAAATTTGTAATGACACCTTTTACTTTTAATTTTTTATTATCATGATTGAATGAAATGTGATATTGACTACCATGTTGGTGAAATGGCAGGACTCAGCAGTGCAAGTGAGCCACATAATGTACCAAAACATCATAGGAACAAGTGCTTCAGAAGAAGCAATCAAATTTGACTGCAGCAAAAGCATCCCATGCAAAGATATATTATTGCAAAATGTGAATTTAACACCACAGGAGGAACTAATAAGACATGGTGGCATCCATGCTACGTGTAAAAACGTTAGATATGTCAATAGGGGACTGCTTTTTCCTCCTTGCTGATCTACTTGATGTCAAAGAAGGAACAATAGAGTGTTATTACCATATTTTAATAGCTTGAGTGTTTAGATTTTTTAATTTGTAAATATTGTTTTCTTTTTTGGAATTAGTCACAAAGCCACATGTTAGTCCACAGGTAGTTGACAACATAATAATAAATTCGATTTACCTATCTAGTATTTACACTCATTTACAATGTTTTCTAATTTTTTTATGCTATAAAAATTCTCTATTATGAATTATATATTGATCAAATAATTTTTTAATAGAATATTCAAATGTTAAACCCGACCTATATTATAACTTCAGCTAAGTATAAAATAAATAAAAAAATATGGTTTTCTTCTAATAATTTTTTTTAACCTAATTTTTTCTAGTACGTTTGAGTTTACAAGCCAAAGATTTTACACAAGAAAGTCGATTGATTCAATAAATTTAAACATTTCGTCGCTGAAGTTTTGAACGTGTTGTGTTGCTTTAAGTTATGTAGTTAATGGAAGGGGGAGGAAGAAAAATGGTATAGAAATTAGAAAGTAGGCATATGATAATGGAAATGAATGCTGTGCTCAAAAGGCAATAATAATTTTTTCTCTGAAATTGCGAAACATGACCAAATCATATATTTTTTTTTTGTAATCAAAATTTTCTTTCCTTTCGTTTTCGTGGGTGGTTAGCTTAGGTTTTACAACATTTGTGATATTTAATTAAGGATTTCTTTATTTTTAATAAGTCGATCTAATAAAAATAAATTATATCTCGTAATTAAAATTAAAAAAAAAATCCCTTTATTTTTTAGGGGTCGAAAACCTTTTTTCATGATTGGGAAAAGAATTGTGAATCTTGAAAATTATTATCTCATATATATATATATATATGAAATAGGTCAGTAAATTTAGATAATTATACTTCTCTATACTACATCACATATAAAATTGAGGTTATTAAAGTGTTTTTTTAGTAAGACTATCTTTTTAGTTTTTAAATATTTTTTAAGTTAAAAAAATAAAATTTGGTGGGAATCTTTACTTAAATTATAACAAAAAAGAGAAATATTTTATTTTGTAACCAAATCATTAATCTAAACTCTAAATATTAAATATTTGTTTCTTTTAAAGTCACCATCATTTTTAAAGTCATCATTCTCTAATATTTTTAAATATTTATTTATTTTGTTCTTTCACATTCTCACACAAAATTTTTTTTAAAGAAGTTTCTTCTTGATACATTTCTTTTTTTTTGTTCGTCCTTGGAGTATCCATCGCCGATAGCAGTGACTAATTTTCTCGCTACGTTGGAGGCACCTCAAAGGGTGGGATAGCTGGCCCCAAGATTTAACGTGGCTGCATACACAAGGCAGGATTCGAATCCCTGACCTTGCTTAAGCGTGATACATTTCCTTTCTTATTTTACTTAGTTTAAAATACTATTTGTTGTTCTTAATTTCTTTGATGATGTTTATTGATTCTTTATTTTAGAATTTCTATTTGTGTGTTTTATGGATTGATTAATTTAATAAGATTTTTTTCTTCTACATTTTTTCTCTCACCCAAAAGCATGTTTTTCCATCTTCGCTTTCTCCAACAACCAACTAACTATGTGTTGATAAGAATCCAATAAATAATTAGGTTAAATACCTAATTTGATCCCTTATAATATTTTAAAGTTTCAATTTAGTCTCAGTTTAATTTTTGGTTTCAATTTGGTCCCTAATAATTTAAATTACTGCAATATTGGACCTTCCGTCCAATTTTTTTAAATGAAGTTAACTATTGACCACGTGGATGTCACGTAGATGCCATGCATAGGTGGATGCCAAATTTCTTTAATGCACTTGGAACCAGAACGGTCCGTTCTGCTTGCACTCGTGGTATGCTAATCATACACTCATGGTAGGTTAATCTTGCACTCGTGATGTATTAATTTATCATTTCAATGTTAACTTTCTTTCTATATAGTATGAATTCAAAATATTATGTAACATACCATAAATAAAAACAATCAAAGCGTTGTCATTATTAACTTTTAATATAGTCAACAAATTTATATTATTAGACTTCTATATATTATGTTATATGTAAAAGTTGGAATTATGAAAGTATTTTTAGTAATTTTTTATATTTTTTTAATGTCTTTTAATTTATCAAATTATTTAAAATTTTAATTTTAACTTAGTTACAAAAATAATTATAAGATTTGAAAATCATTTTTAGCTGAAGATAATTCTATTATAAAACTAATTTATAATTTATTAAATTGTATAAAAATTAAAATTTTAAAATTTTCAATTGCAAAATAATCATTAGAATAATTAGGATATTTGTAAATCTTTTTCACCAAAAGATATTATAAATACTTTAACTTATAAAATTATATAAACTTTAAATATGTCAGATATAGATCAGTCACCAAAAAAATTACCAGTTTTGTAAATTGTTTTCACTATAAATAACTTTATTATAAGAAAATTAAGCCACTAAACTAAACTCTAATGACTAAGTCTTAAAACTCTAAACCTTAACACTTAAATATAAAATATTTTTAAATTTATCAAATTCAATAAAAATTTAAATATGTCAGTTTCAAAAAATAATCACTAGAATAATTATGAAATTTGTCAATCTTTTTCACTAAATGAGAATTACATTATAAGAAAGTAAAACAACTAAACTAAAAACTATTTAAAAGATTACGTGTAGTTCAAAATTAAAGTTTAAAAGTGAAAATTTTCAAAAACAAAATAATGAAATAGATATTGAGTTAAATAGAAAAGTATTTAACTTTTTTATCTTTAATTTTTGTACTATTTCATTTTTATTTTATCTGATGTATTTTATCTAAAATTAGAAATAAAAAAATCTCTAAAACTCTAAACTCTAAAAGCTTAAATCCTAGACCTTAACACTTAAATATAAAATCTTTAAATTTGTCAAATTATCTAATAAAATAAATATGTCAGTTAAAAAAAACTACCAGAACAAGTATGAGATTTGTAACCTTTTTTACTAAAGGATAATTCTATTATAAGATAATAAAACAACCAAACTAAAAACTATTTAAAAGATAATGCGTAGTTTATAATTAAAGTTAAAAGATAAAATTTCCAAAAAAATAATATGTGTAGTTTATAAAGGAACTAAACTAAAAACTATTTTAAAAATTATGTGTATTTTATATAATTAAAATTCAAAGAAATTTTTTTCAAAAAAAAAAATAATGAATTAGATATTGAATTTAAATAGAAAAGTATTTAACTTTATTATGTGTAGTTTTTGTATTTTTTCATTTTATCTGATGTACCTAATCTAAAATTAAAAATAAAAATAAAATATGTCACTTACAAAAAGATCACAAGAATAATTACGATATTTGAAAATCACATTAAAAAAAATTCAATCACAAGAAATAAAACTACTTAGTTAAAATAAAAAATAAAAATAAAAAAGATAATGCTTTGTAGATTTTAGCTATAAACAAAAAAAAAAGAGAGAAAAAGATAGTATGACATTTTTATTGGAAATTTCTTTATTTTTAAAATCAAAATTAAAACAAAGATTTGTGATATTTAATTAAGGATTTCTTTATTTTTAATAAGTCGATCTAATAAAAAAAAGTTATATCTCGTAATTAAAATAAAAAATCAAAATTTTCTTTCCTTTTATTTTATAGGGGTCGAAAACTTTTTTTCATGATTGGAAAAAAATCGTGAATCCTAAAAATTATTTTCTTATATATATATATATGAAATAGGTAAGTAAATTTATATAATTATACTTCACTATATTACGTCACATATAAAATTGAGGTTATTAAAATCTTTTTAATAAGACTATCTTTTTAATTTTTAATTTTTAAAAATGAAATTTATTTGGAATCTTTATTGAAATTATAACAAAAAGAAGAATATTTTATTTTGTAACTAAATCATTAATCTAAATCTTAAATATTAAATTTCTTGTTTCCGTTAAAGTCATTATTTCTCTAATATTTTTAGATACTTTATTATTATTTTTCTTTAATATTCTCACACGAAAGATTTTCTAAATAAATTTCTTCTTTTTTTTTTTTTAAGGGAAAGAAATTTCTTCTTGATATGCATTAAAGTTCAAAGATTATGTGTAGTTTATATAATTAAAGTTCAAAAAAAAAAATTCAAAAAAATAATGAATCGGATATTGAATTTAAATAGAAAAGTATTTAATTTTACTATCTTTAGTTTTTGTATTATTTCATTTTATCTGATCTACCATATCTAAAATTAAAAATAAAAAATAAAATATGTGAGTTACAAGAAAATCACAAAATAATAATTAGGATATTTGAAAATCACATTTAATAAAAGATAATTCATTCACAAGAAAATAAAACTAATAAAATAAAATTAAATTAAAAGGAGATAATGCTTAATGGATTTTAGCTATAAACAAAAAAAGGTAGCATGCATATGATGTTTTTAGTGGATTGAAACTTTATTTTTATCTTGAAAAAATTAGTTTCCTACCTCTCTCCATAGAAATAATTTTATGAAAAATATATATAAAGGCTATTTTGAGAAGATAATGTTTTTTAAAAATGTTATTTTGTAAATAAAAAGCCAAAGACGAGATTCATATGAATAAAACTATAAAAGCTTTCCGTGTACTAAATACTCTTTAGAGTCCTTATTAAAATTTAGTTTAATCATTTTCTTACGGTATGTGAGCACTTACACTAAGTAGAACATATATATTTTATAACTATATACATAACTAATGAGATGTATAATATTATAAAATAATTATATCACATATATTATTATAATAAAATATATATTCATATGTTATAATATATTTATAATTTATTATATTAATATAATATAATATTATTTATTATTACAATAGTGGAATATTTATATTAAGATTTTCTATTTCTTAAATTATATGAATAAATAAATT